CGGGGGGAGGGGGGTCGCTCGGCGGGGGAGAACAAAGTGTAGCTGGAATGTAGCTTTGCTTCGTGATAAATCTGATAAGCATCCCCTGGTTTTGGAGGTTTCTTCTGATTGCCTCTTTCTTCCCCAAAGCATACGTATCTGGTATGCAGAGTCTAGAGGGCTGAATTAGCCCTGGTAAGCAGCTGCTATGTTCTTCTGGTATGTAAAATGTTTGATTTTGTGGAATATTCTATCTCAGCTAAGAGTTTTTGTTTCAAATAGATATTGATAAATGTGAATCCATCATGTTTTTGTAGGAAAAAAAAACTGATCATGGTTTTTGTCACACTTATTTAATCATAATTCCATTTCAGCAATTCTAGAGCCTGCTGATGGAAAAACATCAAACAAATGTGAAATACTGATGCTTGAAAGAACTCTACTTTATACAAAACGTAACCTGTGAACTATATATTAAGTACGTGGCTCGGGTACTGAAAGGAAAGCGAGCCCATCCAAGTGAATTGATGGTTGGCATGGTCTTACTTTTAACACAGTACTTCATCATTAAACTTTGAAAATTGGATTCAGATGAAGAGTGTGTCTCTGGATTGTTCTGTGCAGGTGATTTTTAAATTGTGAATTTTGCTTCAGGCTCTTGTTAAGAAGCTGACTAGCAGTTAGGAAAGCAATGTGTCAGGAGTGTCTTGAGCCTATTAAAGTTTAGAGGGGTAACAGGAACCTTGTGTATAGAGAAGCTTCAGTAGCTGCTAAGTGTTTAACACAGGAGTAAGAGTTCAATAGGAGTCATAATTCAGAAACATCAGCTGCTGTGTAATGTATGTGGGAAAAGTTCTGAACATAGAGAGCTTCTTAACTGCCAGCAGAGCTGTCTGTCGTGCCAGAGTATATCTGTTAGGAGAAGGCCCTAAGCAAGCACTTGTTCAAATCACCTTGCAGAAAGGTAAAATTTACGGGCAGTTATTGATCGTTAAACAGGTGGAATGCATGGATCCACGTGAACTCCGACTCAATACCAGCCTTTCTCATCCACCAAGTTCCCAGTTTAGTAATCGGATGATTGTCATGTTTCTGCACCGTTGGTAGGATTAACGATAAACTGGGTGTATATGGGCCTTGCACAAAATCCCACATGCCAGCAGCAGACAGGCTTTTTGCGATTGCTCAACAGCCTGAGCAGAGTTTTTGGATGCAATATACTGAGCTCTGCAGAATAACTAGGCGGTTTCATTACTTAAGAGCCTAAAAGAAAGCAGAACCCCGGTGATAATTCTCAACCTGCTGATCAGGTCTCAAATTTTATGACTCTTCTGTCCACTCTCTGATAACTTGCTGGGGTTTCTGTTCTGGATCCCTTATGTCCCCTTCCTCAGTAGGACTGACAAATGAGAATGTCATGGGGAATCCGTGGAAATATCCAAAACTGGACTTGACTTGACTGGACAAGGCTCTGAGCAACCTGATTTAGGCTGGCCCTGCTCCAAGCAGGAATGGATTTGGACTAAATAACTTCAAAGCTCTCATCCAATCTAAATTATTTTCATTTCCTATCTAAATTCATTTCCAATCTAAATTTTGTCATTTCCTGAGTAAGAGCCTTTACTTTCTTGACAGAATCCTTTCTGGTGCTGAAACAGTTTCCAGTGTGAATTTGTGGTGCTATGTAAAGCTAAACCAACAAAAATGCCTGCAGCACAGTCCCACGCTCCTAACCTTGGTACAGTGAATCTCCTGCCTTTCCTGTTCTTATACTTGCTTATCTTTAGGTTGGTTCATTACTTGCATTAGAAACCTTGTTGTGAAGGTGTTGGTACCTGGAAAGATGTAAACTTCTGGCTCCAATCCAAGCCAGGCTTTTTACCTTTGACAGTATTTTAAAATGTCTGTGCTGAAAGACAGGTTGCGAGTTAGTATTTCTACTTATGATTATTAAAATGGTAAGTTATGTAAGCTCCATGCACCCCATGTATGTTCTTGCATTCCTTGCTTAGGATTTCTGCCTCATCATGTTAGTGAAGGGGAGCATTATATTGCTTTTCTAATTGCTTCCAAAAATAAGCATTTTAATTCGGACGTATGATGGGGAACATACTATTTATTTTGAATGTGAGGATGGCACGTTATCCTTGTGGTTGGGCTGATCCTGTTTGCGATCTTTCTGCCTTGGCATCTAAGAATTTTCCTCTTTCTTAATACGTTGTATTGTCATTTCTGTTTCAATGGAAATAAGTGCTGGTTTCTGGGTTTAGTTAAAATATCAAAGACTGAAAACCTACAAAACTAGCAACTGTTAGCAAATTCCCTTCTGAATAGTAAATTACAATATTCTATGTGTTTTAGGATCTGTATCTTCCCATAAGACACAAACAAAGTTTAGGAAAAAGATTTTTCTCTTTTTCTTTTGGAAGAGGGATTACCAAATGTTCAGATTATGGCATGATAATGACCCCTAAGAAAATAAATGTTTGGGCAAAGGAAAAGAAAGCTACAATGCGTGTTCCACAGAGAATTAGGTGTTATCTAGTAAGTCACTCGCAATTCTGACTCATTTCTGATACAGATGGGATTATAGCTGTGTTCTTGTTTTCTTCAGTGTAGCTAGTGTGTATCAAGCAAGGGATCTGGGGAAAATGTACAATTAGGCAAGGTCCAGTACACAAAATATGACAGCAGTAGCAATTACTCTAATTAGGAAAGGCAATTCATTGCAGACCCTCAGAAAGCCAATGTCACGCCAGTCTTCAAAAAGGGCAAGAAGGAGGAGCCAGGAAACTACAGGCCTGTCAGCCTCACCTCCATCCCGGGAAAGGTGATGGAACAGCTCATCCTGGAGGTCATCACTAAGCATCTGGAGGACAAGAAGGTGATCAGGAGTAGTCAGCATGGATTCACCAAAGGGAAATCATGCTTGACCAATCTGATAGCCTTCTATGACAGAATGACTGGCTGGGTAGATGAGGGCAGAGCAGTGGATGTTGTCTTTCTGGACTTCAGCAAGGCTTTTGACACTGTCTCCCATCACATCCTCCTAGGTAAGCTCAGGAAGTGTGGGCTAGATGAGTGGACGGTGAGGTGGCTTGAGAACTGGCTGGATGGCCGAGCTCAGAGGGTTGTGGTGAATGGCGCAGAGTCAAGTTGGAGGCCTGTGGCTAGTGGTGTCCCCCAGGGCTC